GAGACAGGGTCTCCCTGTAGCCCCAGCTGTCCTGGAACTCACTGTGTAGACTAGGCTGGCCTTGAACTCACAGAGATCCACCTGCCTCTGCCATCCGAGTGCTGGGATTAAAGGCGTGTGCCACCAAGCCTGGCCATGAACTATTCTTAATAGATACTAATTAAGTCAATGAGTATATTATTTATAAGTGATTTCAAACTATGTTTGGCCTATTAATAATTTAAATGTTATAAGGTACATTATCAAATTTTTTACCAGTAATTAAAATTATATAATTTTGTCAGCAAATAATAAACAGAATCCTTATTATTAGAGCTCAATTTTAGATCAAGCAAGGCCATGTAATTCAATAGTGGAAAGAATAAAGTGAAAGGGTTAGATTTTTGCTTAATGCCCCTCTACTACATACATCTCTCCAAGACACATCATAGATTTGAATCTGGATGATGGATATTTCCTGGGATCTCCCCAGCTCTTGTGTCTTATTTTTCTGAATAATGCACTCTATTTTTTTTTTTAGATAAGAAAATAAACTTATCCTTTACCACCTATACCTCCCTTTGGGACTAGGCAATTAATTTGTCCATTTGTTCCTACCAGATTGCTTTTTGGTTTTGTGAGTGTGTATACTTTTTTTTTCCAGTGCTAGGGATTGAACTCTGATCTTTGTGCGTGTCAGATAAGCACACTACCACTGAACATACTTCTAGCCCTACATAATTTTTATGTATGCTTGCTTTTTGTTATTTGAGATAGGGTCTTGCTATGTGCCCCAGGCTGGCTCAAAGGCATAATTCTCCTGCTTCAAACATGTGGTGCCTTCACATCTGACCATAGTGATGTTTTGAAGATACCAGTTGGAACAAATTCATTCCATATGAATGCATTCAATATTTTTAAACTCCCCAAAATTGACATAAAAGTGGATACTTGGGGAAGTATTGTGACACCTCAGAAATGCAGGCTTTCCTTTTCTGTGTGTTCTCTGCTTGAGCTGTGTCAAGGTTTGCTTTCTGGAGTAAAAACATAATGGACATAGGAAGAACAAGGACAAGTCCTCTGCTGAGCTGTACGTGGCATTTATTATAATGCCAACATCATAATCAAGTGAACATATGGGCTGACTCTTCAATTAAGATTTTAAGAGTGGGTCTGAACTCGGAGGACACCAGTTCCCCTAGCTATGTATTAGAGCTGTCTGTCTCCCAGAACTGTGCTCCTGTCCCCTCAGCCTGTGTAGAGAGCTGCTTGTGTGCCTACCCTGTGCCAATGGAACTGGGTCTGGAACCCTCTTTCTCCCACTTTGCCCCGGTCAGTTCGCACCCATAATTTATTCAAAATAGTTTCTCTGACTCTGTTAGGGAAGTCAAGTTCAAGTCCAGCTCCACCCTTAATCTTCACAGACCTTCTGGTCTTTTCATCCCTAGTTCACATTGATCCAAGGTCACAGGTCCTTCCCAACCTCTACTATGTCCAATGGAGCTGAGTGGGTGCTCAGTTTGCAGTGCTTTGATATGTTAATTCTCAAGCATACTTGCTATAATTCATTATCTTTTTGGGTGGAGTACCAAACTGATGTTGCCAAGGAGATGCCCCATCACCAGACCTCGGAGCATGGTTTTGTTGGGGTTAATTAAAAATTATTAGTCCAGATTATGTCCATTAATAGAAGTCATTACTACAGCTATAACTTCATGTATCTTTCTTATCATACACTGTGGAATGTAGAAGAAAGAAATCTGTAGGCATGAGAAGACTGTTCCCAGAGTGTGCATGAGACACTTGGGAGCCAGGATTTGAATTTTGACATTTGAGAATGACTGTAGACAGTAGTTTCTGCTTTTACTTGTTCTAGATTTATTAAATTATAAAATACAGAGCCCAAATGGTAAATTTTAATCAAATATTTTCTGACTAGCTGAGGTCTTGTGAGCTCATTTGGCAAATAATTAGAAAAAGACATTATTTACACTTGTACCAAGGGCATTTCAGAGGCTGCTGTGGATCAGTCATCTCATTTTCTCCAGATGTAAGCCATCATTGTCTTTGTCTCTGCTACAGGGGCATCTTTGGAACTGTGTCAGCACTGTTTATCATTGCGTGGTGCAGTCTCTCGGCTTCCAAGATCTTCAGTTCAGCCTTGGACATGGAAGGACAACAGCTTCTTGTTGCCTACCCTTGTGCCTTATTTTATGGACTTTTTGCCCTCCTGACAGTTTTCTAAAGAGTTCTTGGCATGAATTTGCAAGACTTTATTTGTTTGCTGTTTACATTTTTTGGGAAGAAGTGCATTAGCATTCAAATTATTGATATGATTTCTGTTTTATTGCTGTTGGGAGAACAGCAAACAGAAAGCAAGAACAGCACTTGAGGATATGCTTTAACAGCTTACTTTGTGTGAGCGATGTTTGCAGTGTTCAGCTTGGGGCATTAAAACACTTAGAAATATTTTGAAATATAAAGGGACATAGTTTCTGTACTGATGAATGCTGCCTGTTCTCAACAGATATGTTTCTGAGAAATTACAAGTGAATAAAATCCTATGCTTAACACAACTTCCATAATAAATCTTTTCAAAAACTTTCGTGTTGAAGCTCTGTGCACATTGTTAAAAATTACACAATCCAGCACATTTGGAGAGGTCAGAGGTTTTATATACCCAGAGTCAAAGAAATTCCTTCATTTACCTTAACACCTGTTATTTGGTCCCATTTAGATAATGTATTGACTCACCACTTTTTCAAGTTTTCACTCCCCTCTCACCTGGCTTAAATGCTATGAGTCCATTATGACAGCTCTCCCTTGCATATAACCTGAGTGATCTTGCTATTTTCCCTCTAAATAGATGACTGTTCCTACAGGAAATTCTACCTATTTCATATTAATGCTGTTGACATTTCTGAAATGGCTCTCCAGTTCTGCCCTTTAATCCTACACTATAATTTCATTTGAAATTTGTTTTCATACTAAGATAACCGAACCACACCAGTACTTTCCTGCTCAAATCTCTAATACTTCTTCCCTATTTCTCACTGTTATTTTATTCCTCTTTTATTTAAAGATAGAAACATCTGGGAGAAAAGCATTTCATCTTCCCATCACACCTATCAGCTTACAGACACCTTCACATCTGCTTGTATTCTACCCTTCTTTTGTCATTTCGTCTCTCCACGTCACCTTCCATAGCCAGTATTGTTTTACTTTTCTTCATTTGCATAAGCATATGAACATGCTCTGATTCCTCCTAACTTAAAATAAAATCTCCAGGTATGACCATTTCTCTTGTCCTCCTTATAGAATGTTCTAGAAAGAGTTGTCTGATTTCTGCCTCCACTTTATTGCCTTCTCTTCATTCTTGCTTTTGTCTAGTGGGAAATTCATCATCCTGTTCACAGGACTATCTTTGTCAAATCAGAGATATCACATCAGTCTACATTCAACAGTCAATTCTCGGTTTCATCTTATTTGAACTCTGAGTGGTATTGACGTGACCCCGTTACCAATCTCTCTTGGCTGCTGTACTGAATCGTTGAGTTCTTCACTTAACTCATAGTGAAAGAATCTCTCAATTTTCCCCTAACCGACTGACTGGCAGATCCTTAATAAATTTCACTGGCCTTTCTTCTACTTTTCAACCACAAATCTAATATTTAGTTATTAGCTGAGCTCATTTAATTAAACAGCTTTAAAATCTAATGACTTCAAAATTCCATTTCCACTGTACATTCTCTTGCTTGAACTCTTGACATATATATCCAAGTCATAACTAATATCACCATTTGATTTTAATATGATACACTCAAATATGTCAACTAGAATCAAACCCCTGATTTCTATCTACCCTATCCTCCATGCTCCTCCTCACAATGTATTCAATTTTTGTGGTGAATATAGTCTGGTTTATTTGAGCTTATGGTTCCAGGGGAATTACAGTCTGTCTTGGTGGGAAGACATGGTGATGGAGGTGGCTGGAGGAGGAGTGGAAGCTAAGCTCTACATCTTCAAGCAGGCATGGGAAGCAAGAGCAACTGGAGATCTGACAAGGTTTAAGAACTCTCTAAGCTCATGCCCAGTGACGTGCTTCCTCTAGGATAGCCATACCTTCTAAGACCTCCCAAAACAGGGCCACCATCTGGGGACAAAAATGTCCAAATATTTGGAACCTATGGGGGACATTTTCATTCAAACTACCACATTCCACCCCCTGGCCCCCATAGGCTCACGACCATATAAAATGCAAAATGCATTTATCACACCTTTAAAAGTCCCCATAGTCATTATCAGCCTCAATACTTTTCAAAAGTCAACAGTTCAAAGACTTTTCTGAGACTCAGCGAAATATCTTAACTGTAAGCCTCTATAAAATCAAAAGACAAATTACATACTCCCAACATACAGTGGAACCGAATACATATTAGTATTCCAAATGGGAGGAATGGAGGCATAATAAGGAAATACCAGACCAAAACAAGACTTAAATCCAGCAGGGCAAACACCAAATCCAGTAGCTCCATGTCCAACTTCTGGGACTTAACTTCCAAAGGGCTTAGATGGCTCAGCCTCTCAAACTTTGCTTCATGCAACACACATCTCTCTCTTTGGTTGTTACCACTCCTTGTATGCAGGTCTTCTTGGCAGATGCCTCACAGGTCTGGCACCATGAATGTCATCTTGTGGTATCTACTTTACAAGGTAGCTGAGGTCATAAGATAAACTCTGTGAAACTCTAGCAAAGTCAAGAGCGTTCTTACTGCAGATGTCTTTTACAAGCCTGGGGTGTTTGCACACACAAATCAAGACACATGAGGAACGCAGATCTTATTTCTGGAGTCAGGAAGATTTCACACAATCCTCAGAGGTGAGCCAGCCTAGTTGTTGACATGATAAACAAGAATTGCTGAGAGAATAAATCAAGGCAGAAAACAGTAAGTCCATGATGTAATTACAGTTCCTATTGAAGAACCTTGAGCCTGCAGTGCAACATCTGGAAGGGAATGCTCCTGTCATTGCAATTCCTCTTCCATTGTCACTACAGGCGGCGGGAGCAGCACCTGGGCATGGACACAGAGTCACCACTCCATGATGTCTCTCAAGGGAGAGTTGGATAGCTACAGCATTGTGCAAATGTAGTCAAGAGGATTGATCGCATGGCAGGGAGGCATGGTGGCTGGAGGTGGCTGAAGCAGGAGTAGCAGAAGCTAAGCTTTCACATCACCATACAGGCACAGAAAGCTAGAGAGCAGCTAGAGATCTGGCAAGGCTTAAGAACTCTCTAAGGTTACCCCCCGTGATGTATTTCCTCCAGGATAGCCACACCTTCTATGACCTCCCAAAACAGCGCCATCATCTGGAGATAAAATATCCAAATACTTGGAGTCTATGGGGGACATTTTCATTCAAACCACCATATTCCATCCCCTGGCCCCCATAGGCTCATGACCATATAAAAAGCAAAATGCATTAAGTCCCCATAGTCATTAGCAGTCTCACTACTATTCAAACGTTAACAGTCCAAAGTCTTTTCTGAGACTCAGCAAAATATCTTAACTGCAAGCCCCTGTAAAATCAAAAGATAAATTACATATTCCCAACATACAGTGGAGCCAAATACACATTACCATTCCAAAAGGGAGGAATAGAAGCATAGTAAGGAAATACCGGACCAAAACAAGACTGAAAAACAGCAGGCCAAACATCAAATCCAGTAGCTCTGTGTCCATCTTCTGGGACTTAACTTCCAAAGGGCTTAGGTGGCTCAGCCTCTCTACCTTTGGTGCATGCAACACACATCTCTCTCTTGGGCTGGTAGTTCTTCTCGGCAGATGCCTCCCAGCTCTGGCATCATGAACGTCTTCTTCAGGTCTCCATTGCCAACCAGGCTTCACCTTCACAGCTTCATACGATGGCCTATATCAGGGCCTTCTCTATGCAGAGGAATCCCTGCTGTACACTGCCTGGCTTCAGAAGGTCATTGAAACGATTCCAGGGGAATTAGTGACTGTTCGTCTTGGTGGGGAAACACGGTGGCAGAGGTAGCTTGAGGAGGAGTGGAAGCTAAGCTCTACAACTTCAAGCAGGCACAGGAAGCAAAAGCGTGAATGTAGTCTTGACTACTCTCGTTTTCAGACCAACATCGAGTCTAGTATGTAACTGAATTCTGTTATCAAAGCACTCCTCAAATGTGATCATGTCTCATGGGCTCTGTTATGGTTTAGATGGCAAGTAGTTCCTCAAGTCTTATGTGGAAGGCTTGGTTTCCATCTAACACAATCAGTCACGGAAACATGATTGGATCATTAGGATCTGACAATGAGTTAACACAAATTTGGATTTATGATTTGATGACCTTATTGATGTGAGGAAGAAACCAGGAGGTGAGAATAGCTTGGAAGAAACAGGGCCTGATAGGCATACATTTAAAGGGCATATCTGGTCTGTGGCCCCTTCTCTGTCCATCTGCTGTTTGCTGTGAGATCTACCACACGGCTCCACTACATGTTCACACCATGAGTTTCTGTCTCACCACATACAAGTTTAGAATCAACTGTGCAGAAGGACCATGGACTGAAACTTCTGAAATGCTGAGCCCAAAATAAAACCTTCCTCCCTTATGTTATTTTCTCAGATGCTGCCAAAGTGACAAAAAAGTAGACAAGGCAAGCTCTTTCATAGCCAACGTTACAGTCCCACAGCCACTCTTACCTGTTGGCTACCTGAAGCAGTCGCTTTACTGGCTTCCTGATCCTATGTATTCTTAGCAACAGATTTATTTATATAACAGTATATTGGAGCCTCTGAAAATGTAAGTTAATTATGATCATAGCAACCCCAAGACCCTTCAGTGGTATTCATTCATGTTCACAAAAATATCAACTTCTCTTTTGATAGCTCAGAAGCTTTCTACTCAAAGACTATCCCTTGGACAACAGAATCAACATTCTCTGGCATCTGATTGAGTTGTGAATCCTAGGGCTCCTGAACTGAAGTCTGTATTTTAACAAATCCCCAGATGTACTGTATGCACAATACATTTTGAAAAGTACTGGTCTGCATTATTTAGCTGTCTAAGATATTTTAGCTTCTAACTTCACACCTTTGAGCACTATCCTTACCACTGCTTTTCACACCACAGAGTTTACTACCTCTGATATTTGTATTATTCCAAATCTTTCATATTATTCAGGTTTGCATTCATGTTATACCTCACTAGAGGCCTCTTGGATTGTGTGTAACAGTACACCTGCCACCCAGCTTTACTCAGTCTTCTCTACTCTCTTAAACTCTAGGGTAATTACCTAAAGTTACTCAGAATCACTAAGCCTTAGTTTGTCCATTTATTATTTATTTATCTGCTTTCCTCATCTAGAAGACATATACTGTGAAGCCAAAGTCCTTATCTATATGCAACATCCCTGAAAAATGATTTTTGTTTCTTTTTCTAAATAATCATTTTTGTTTTTTTCTTAACAAATTTATATTTCTAGTTGCACAGTGAACAAATGAGAAAATCAATAAATTATCAAGACTGTAATTGGATATCGATCACTATGATAAATAA